AGGTCTGTGAGAGTGAGGGCTCATTTTCCAGGATAGGTTGTAGATCGTGGATAATGCGCTGGTGAGGTTTTAGCTGGGGGCTGTATGTGATGGCCAGTGGTGCTCTGTTATTGTCCTTGTTGGGCCTGTCCTGTAGGAGGTGATTTCTGGGTACCCATCTTGCTCTGTCAATCTGTTTCCTCACTTCCCCAGGTGAGTATTGTAGTTTTACGAATGCTTGATAAAGATCTTGTAGGTGTTTGTCTCTGTCTGAGGGGTTGGAGCAAATTCAGAACTGAATCTCCTGCACCTGTCAGAAGCAGTCCAAAGGCTTGAGGGAGTCAGGGATAACAGAGAAGCTGAGGGAGAGGAAAGGCGCCTGGAGTGAACCTGAAGGGTTGTTGTGTGCAGCTGGGAGAAATATGGAATATGTTTTTTTGGGGTGAGAGGTAGGATTTTTAGGGAGTTGGGGAGTCTCCCCCATGAAGATGCTGGCTGACACTAAGCCTCTCCCATACAGTCAGGCACATTTGTCCCTGTTCCCACACCCCCATGGGTCTCTGCAGCCTCCTCCCCCATCCCCATGTGTCCCTGAAGCCCCCCATCCTTGTTCCCATGTAGCCTTGCACCCCCAATCCCATTCAACCCCTGGATCAATGCTGTCACACCACTAGCTCCTGAGTCTGCACCCCACTCTGTCCCCCCACTAGCTATTCTGAATCCCAGTGTGTGACATTCACACCTCAGCAACCCCATGTGCCCCACTCTGTCAGTCCTAACCTGGCTCCGCAGGCAGGGTGCTGTGATGAACTTCTACTCCTGGTGAAATTCTGTGCCACTGTGCACGGATAGAATTTTTTTTCCCCACAAAAAATACATTCTGCCCCAGAAGAACTGCAATTCTGCCTTTTGTCCACCAGAGGCCGTTGTGGCACCATTCAGGCTGGTTTTGCACCACAGCGTCCTCTGATGGGTAAAAGGTGGAATGGCAGCACTTCTTGGGCAGAAGAGCATTTTCTGCAGAGAAAAAAATTCTGCAGGACACATGAATTCTGCGCGTTCACAGTGGCACAGAATTCCCCCAGGAGTATTCCATGTTTGACAATGATCGACCAGGTGCTGACTCTTGCTAAGGCTGTAGGCGTCAACTGAGCACTGACAAATTCATAACTGGAAACCAGACCAGTTCTCCTGTACGTGAGTACTGTTCAAGATAGATGTTAGACTTGTAAGGATGTGTTAGTGTTTATACTATGTAGTAGGAAGAGAGCCTGAGACATAAGATCTTGTATCAAAGGACTAGTATGACGCCTGAGTCCTAGGCTAAAGTAGTAATCGAAGCTTTACTGACATAAAGCAAAGACAAGCTGTGAGCAAGAGGCAGGACCTGCTCACAGAATCGGGCAAGAATAGGGCTTATATTGCAGATATACACATTCCTAAGAAGTGCTAGGCACAGAGTACTCATGCAAACACATCCCGATATCAAGTGGTACCAGAACATCCTGATATTAAGAATGGTACAAAAACATTCCCTACAAGTAACAGGAACACACTGACGCCTTGTGATGTTATCTGATTAAAATATGACTATATAGATCATTGTTACAACCACTGTTATATATTTGCAACAAATCTTGTACAAAGGTTGTCAAGTGAGGTGCCTATTAAAAGGTTATGATTTGCTGGTTATGATTATGCTATTTGTAGGCATGTGTCATTTTTGTATTTGAAGTTATAAATATTGGCTGTATACCTGGATTTCAAATGTTTGCTCCTGGGTAACGCCCATGAAGTAGTTAGCCAGCACATCTTGGAGGGACTACTCAAAATGAGTGGCCCATCAAAAGGACACTAAATTCACAATGGACCATGGGAGATGCCCATCTATACTTAGTGGACTGTCCTGTAAACATGCTGTCTAGAATATAGGTAATGGCTTCCTGCAATGACTGAGCGAAATTGGGCATGAACATGTGACTTGCCCATGTGACTCCAAACACTATCTGGTCACCTGTGATTCTCCACTACCTGTGCTGAGGTTTTTGTTAAATCAATGGGTTTCCCTTCACATGGCAGAGGATATAAATGGCCCTGGAAACCCCTCCATTTTGCCTCTATCCTGCTTCAGCATATATCCTCCTTCAGCCTCTGGACTATACTAATGGGAGCATTTCTAACCAATGGACTGAGGACCTTCCAGTGATTTGGAAGCAACCAGAGACTTGAATTAATCCAGCAGTTTATTCTATCACTGCTACAAGCCTGAACCAAGAACTTTGCAATTACTGTATGTATTTGATTCCTTTAACCAATTTTAACTCTCACCTTTCTTTCTTTCTTTCTTTCTTTTTATGAATAAACCTTTAGATTTTAGATACTAAAGGATTGGTATCAGCATGATTTTTGGGTAAGATCTAAGTTATATATTGACCTGGGTGTGTGGCTGGTCCTTTGGGATCAGAAGAACTTTTTATTTGAAGGGATTGGTTTTAAAGAACCTCTCATCTCTATAAGTCTAGTGTTTTCAGTGGTAATACAAGGACTGGAATGCCTAAGGAAACTGCTTTTCTGACTTCTTGTTAGCCGGTGTGGTGAAACAGAAGTTTACTT